AATGAAGGTAAAATGAATGAATCTATAGTTATATGAATCAGATCGGTGGTGGCCTGGGGCCTGGGAGGCACACTGGGACATTTCACAGTGATGGTGTTTTCCCTCTTGTGCTGCTGGTGACATGAGTGTAGACATTTGTCAAAGCTCATCCAACCCAGGAACACCTGGGTGGCTCAGCAGCTGAGAGTCTGCCTTCGACTCAGGCTGTGATCCCAGGATCCAGGCCTGCTTCTCCCCCTGCCTGGGTCTCTGTCTCTCTCTGTGTATCTCTCATGAATAAATAAATAAAATCTTAAAAAAAAATAAGATACTGGACCATAAATTCAAGATGGAAGAAAAAGTCAAACACAGAAGAAATTACAATTAATTTCTTATTAATTAATCAAATGATTGATTTTTTTTTCCCTAATTCTTGACAGAGTGTCCGGCAAAGAGCATGGAAGCGGGGGACCTACTCAATCAAACCACCTTAGTGACACACATTCGGCTTAGAGGCTTATCTGTAGATCAGAGGGTGCAGATGACTGTGTTTGCCATGTTCCTCACTTTCTATGTCCTGACACTGGCTGGGAATGTCCTCATTGTCATAACTATTATCTACGACCGCCGGCTTCATACCCCCATGTATTTCTTCCTCAGTAACCTGTCTTTTATCGATGTGTGCCACTCCACTGTCACTGTCCCCAAGATGCTGGTAGACACATGGGCAGAAGAGAAGCTTATCTCCTTTGACGGCTGCGTCACTCAGATGTTTTTCCTGCACCTCTTCGCCTGCACCGAGATCTTTCTGCTCACCGTCATGGCCTACGACCGGTATGTGGCCATTTGCAAGCCCCTGCAATACCTGACAGTGATGAGCTGGAGAGTGTGTGTGCTGCTGGCTGTAGCCCTGTGGGTGGGGGGGACCATCCACTCCATATCGCTGACCTCCCTCACCATCACGCTGCCCTACTGTGGTCCTGATGAGATTGACAGCTTCTTCTGCGATGTGCCTCAGGTGATCAAACTGGCCTGCACGGATACCCACATCATTGAAATCCTCATCGTCTCCAACAGCGGCCTGATCTCCGTGGTGTGTTTCGTGGTCCTCGTGGTATCCTACGCGGTCATCCTGGTGAGCCTGCGGCAGCAGATCTCCGAAGGCAGGCGCAAGGCCTTATCCACCTGTGCGGCCCACCTCACCGTCGTCACACTGTTCCTGGGACATTGCATCTTCATCTATTCCCGCCCATCCACCAGCCTCCCGGAGGACAAGGTGGTGTCTGTGTTTTTCACGGCCGTTACCCCCCTGCTGAACCCCATCATCTATACTCTTAGGAATGAAGACATGAAGAATGCCTTGAACAAGTTAATGGGAAGGTTGGAAGGGAAAGGTAAAAAATGACAATGTCTAAGCTCTTGGGGCCTGGTGCTCCAAATCTAAGAAAAGCCTTGTAAAGAATAAGTTACCTGACATTTTGTCAGCTTATATGACTTATAAAATTGTCTTCTGGTCTAATATCTGACAATTGTGGCATAGCTATGATATTTAGTGTCTCCCATAAGCCGGAAATTGTTGCAGGCACTCGGCATTACTCCGTCTTCACAGCAACTTGTGAGGTAGGTACTGCGCTTGCTTACAGTGATGAAACTAAAGCTCAAAGAGAGCAAATGGTATGTCCAAGGTCACCCAGCTGGGAAATGATGGAAGCAGGATATGAAGCCGAGTGTATCAACACAAAGTCATGCTACTTTCATTACACCATGCCTCCTCCCCCTGCTTTTCGTCTTAGGGTAATAATTAAAGTTTAAACAAAACCTTCAGATTGCTGGGCAGCACTTGATTACACCATTCACTCAGATGCTTGCCTAAATGGCTCAGCAAAACACCGGCGAATCAGACCAAGTGGGTTTGCTTATGACTTCAGTGATGTAGAAAGAAGACTTGGAGTCATTGAAGTTATTGGTTTCCTCAGGTATCCAGGAAAAATCTGCCATCAGAGCAATGAAGTGGGGATACCTTAGTATTCATTCATTTGACAAATATTGACCAAGCATCTATTATGTGCTAGGGACTCGGTTTACAGTCACAAATAAGACATATAGTCCCTCCTTTATATAGTTTGAAGTCTAGTGAAAATAGTAAACAAAATATAAACCAGTGCATTTTAATTATAAATCATAACAAATCCTGTGGACAAAACACATTGAACGCTGAATGAGAGTTTTAGAAAAGACAGTCTTCAGAATAGGTAGTCAAGAAGGGTCTCTCCGACCAAATGACATTGCAGCTGAGATCTGACAAATGAAAAGGAGCCACACGTGAGAAGAGACAGTGTTCTAGGCAAAGGAAATGGCAGTTGTTGGAGAAGACTCTGGCTTGGTCCAAGCAGTGAAAGAGCAGTGGGGTTACAGCTTAGATCATAAGGCCGACAATGGTGAGAGATGACACTGAAGAGGTGAAAAGAACACTTTCACATCCTCTTAAGGGCCAATCTGACTTTCAAAAAGGTGCCAAGATAACACAATGGGGAAGAAAGTCTTTTTAAATGGTACTGGATCATCTAGGTTGATGGGAAAAATTAATCTCAACCCTTATCTCACACCATATGTCAAAGTAAACTTAAAATGGATCACAAACCTAAATTTATTTTTTTGAGATTATAACTTTTATATTGTTTTGATTTTTTGTATATTTTTATTGGATTTTGATTTGCCAACATACAGTATAACATCCAGTGCTCATCCCCTCAGTGCCTGACACCCAGTCACCCCATCACCCCGCCCACCTCCCTCCTACTACCCCTTGTTCATTTACCAGAGTTAGGAGTCTCTCATAGTTTGTCTCCCTCTCTAATTTTTCCCACTCGTTTTCTCTCCTTTCCCCTATAATCCCTGTCATTATTTTTTATAACCCACGTATGAGTGAGACCATGTAATGTTTGTCCTTCTCCAACTGACTTACTTCACTCAGCATAATACCCTCAGTTCCATCCACGTCAAAGCAAATGGTGGGTACAAACCTAAAATTTAAAGCTGAACTGCAAAATTTCTAAATGAAGACAGGAGAAAATCTTTGAGACTTCAGAGTAGGTGACGGTTTCTTAGGACACAAAAGGCATCAATCTTATAAGTAAAAGATTGATAAGGCTGAATCAAAATATAAATTTCTGCTCTTCAAAAATATATCATTCAAAAAATAAAACTGCACGCCACAGTGTGAGAAAAATATTGCCAAGACGTATATCCAACAAAGGTCTTGTATCCAGAATACACAAAGAAAACTGTTGTATACTCTTACAATGACAAGAAGACAAAACATTAAAATAATAAATGAGCAAAATGTTTCAATAGACACAACACAGCACAAAGGATAATAAGCAAATTAAAAGATTCTCAGCATCATCAGTCATTGGGGAAATGAAGAGTACACCACACATGCACTTAGAATGCCTAAAATTAAATACTGACAATAGCAATTATTGGATGCTAAACTCTTATACTTCTGCGGAGAGTAAAAAATCATACAACCACTTTGCGGGTGCCCGGCTGGTTCAGTCAGTGGAAAATGAGACTCTTGATCTTGGGGTCATGAGTTTGAGCCCCACAGGGGCAATAAAGTTTGCAAATAAATAAATAAATAAATTGTAAAAAAATCATACAATCACTTTGGAACTGCCTTGTAGTCCATTATAAGTTAAACATACACTTACTATGTGATCCAATAATTCTACTCCTAGATACTTACCCAGGAGAAATGAAGACATGTGGCCAAAATAACCTGTAAGTAAGCACTTATATCTACTTGATTCATAACTGTCAAAAGCTGAAAACACCCAAATGCTCATCAGTAAATGACTGAATAAACGATTGCCGTATACCCATACAACGAGGTATGACTCAACAATAACAAGAAACTACTAATACCCACTAAAGACATAGTTTAATCTCAGCAACAGCAGGCAGAGCAAAAGAAGCAGGCACAGAAAAGTTCATACTGTATGATTCAATGTCCATGAAACTCTAGGAAAGGTAAATCTAACTCATAGTGACAAAAATCAGACCCTTGGATGCTTGGGTAGAGATAGAGGGATTGTCTGGGAAGGGACTGAAGAACTTTCAGGGGTGCTGTAAATGTTCTATATCTTGATTGGAGAGATGTATATGTTATGTGGATGTATATATACCTTTGTCAAAATTTCTCCACCTGTCCAATTAAAATGCATGCATTTTATGTAATTAAATTTTACCTCAATAAATTTTATTTTAAAACATGTATTTTATACATTTTCACCTTGATTTTATTAAAGTACTATGAAAAATACAAAACAAATCCAGGAATAATGAGAGAATCACTTTCAAAGTCACAGCTTAAGTCAATATAAATCAGTGATGGCTTAAATAAACACCTTGAAAACCTATTTGAAAGCAAGATTGAAACCACTATAATTTATAAAACAGAAGTGCGATATATAGCTTCCCAGAGGCAATAACTCACAGAATCCACAAATCAAGAAAATATGTTGTCTCACAACTGTACCTGTTCCTAAAACTGAGTCCATCCCCCAAACTGTGTTCTTTTCCTAGTGAAACCAGAGCCTTCTTAAAAGTTTTCCAGATTCTTTTTCCTTTATGTTCCACCATGATCTTTTTCTTTATATGATGTAATAGTTAATAAGTCTTTGTTTTTTTTTTAAAGATTTTGTTTATTCATTTGAGATAGAGAGAGAGGGTGAGCGAGCATGAACAGGCGGTGGGCAGGCAGAGGGAGAAGGAGAAGCAGGCTCCCCGCAGAGCAGGGAGACCGACCTGGGGCTCCATCCCAGGACCCCAGGATCATGACCCAAACCAAAGGCAGGTGCCTAATCGACTGCACCACCCCATCAGTCCCTCTCTGTAATACAGAAGTCTGCCCTGCTCCGGGCCACCTTATCTTTTGATTTTAGTTTTTGCTCTCACTGTCTCATTAAAGATTCAGCCCTAATTACGTTTACAATTCCAAGTCCATCACGTACCTGACTTTATGAGAAAACCTGTTTCTGTCTGAGATGCTTTATGGCACTTTTTACCTCCTCGTTCCTCAAGGTGTAAATGAGGGGATTTAGCAAAGGGGTGACCACGGTGTAGAAGACAGATACCACCTTGTCGATGGAGAAGCTGGTGTCTGGCCGAGTGTAGATGAAGATGCATGGTCCAAAGAAGAAGGCGACCACCATGAAGTGGGCTGAGCACGTAGACAGAGCTTTCCGGCGCCCTTCAGCAGACTGTTTTCTAAGAGACACCAGGATGATTGTGTAAGAGGTGACCAAAGCCAGGAAACAGGTGAGGGAGATGGTTCCACTGTTGGAGACAATGAGCACTCCCGTGAGGTAGGTGTCCGTGCAGGCCAGCTTGATGACGGGGGGCACATCGCAGAAGTAGCTATCGATAACGTTGGGGCCGCAGTAGGGCAAACGAATGGTCAGGAGGGTCTGCACCAGAGAGTGAACGGTACCCCCCCACCAGAGGGCGAGGACGAGCTGCACACACACCCGGATGCTCATCACGTTGGGGTAGCGCAGCGGGGCACAGATGGCCACGTAGCGGTCATAAGCCATGACGGTCAGCAGAAGGATCTCAGCACAAGCGAACAGGTGTAGGAAGAAGAGCTGCGCAATGCAGTCATCAAAGGAAATAGTCTTTCTCTCCCTAAGCAGGCCCTCCAGCATCTTGGGCACAGTGACCGAGGAGTGGCAGGTGTCAATGAAGGACAGGTTGCTCAGGAAGAAGTACATGGGGGTATGCAGGCGCCGGGTAAGGGCCGTGGTCACTATGATGAGAGTGTTCCCCAGAAGGGTGAGCACGTAAGCCAGGGAGAATGCCACAAAAAGTAGCGTCCCCAGCACCAAGTTATCCGTGAGCCCCAAGAAGACAAACTCAGTCACTCTTGTTTGATTTGGAGCTTCCATCCAGCGAGTTTCCAAAGGACCTTGGGGGAGGACAAAACCATGAAAGCCAGTTTAGGGCTACAGCTGACTGAAGTAGCTCCACATCCCCATGTGAACTGCTTACGTATAACCAGGGCACACGGAATAGAAGGCCGACCTAGGGGCGACTGTCACAAAGGCCCGTCACCACCGGAGTCGTCCCAAGCCCGCACACACCGCCTGCTGCCCGACGGCCAACCTAGGCCTTAGGTGGCCCACAGTCGAGGCCCAGGAGTCGCCGAGAACCAGGAGCTGCCAAAGCTCCCGGCCGCTGGCCAGCTGCTCCCCCAGGTCCAGTCTAATCCGCACATGACCCCACACTGGCCTCCCAACCGACGACTCCAGCTGAGATCCTTCGCCTCTCCACTCCCAACCAAGTCAAGTGTGCGCCCCAAACCTGCCAGGGCCGCGGGCCTCGTCTCCCCAGTCTGGAATCCTCTCCCCCGGGGGCCGCCCTCCTCAGGCCCCAGGCACCCTGCTGCGGCGGGCCAGCCCCCCTGTAAGGACAGGCTGCTGACATGGCCACATCCCCTCCCCTCGCTTTCCTACCTGTTTCGTGGTGTCGAACTGAGAAAGAAAATTAGACATGTCTTTCTGTTTTCCATGGAATTGAAATGTTCCTCAAAAGCAGTCACTATAGGGGCATCTGGGTGGCTCAGGTGGTTAAGCAGCCGACACCGGATTTCACCTCAGATCATGACCTCAGGGTCCTAGGGTCATGCCCTGCACCAGGCTTTGCAATCATGAGGCCTCGGCTTGAAGAGTCTCCCCCTAACCCTCCACGTGCATATGCGTGCATGCCAGCGCACTTGCTCTCAATAAATAAATAAATCTTAAAAAAGAAAAGAAATTTGGGGCACCTGGGTGGCTCAGTCGGTGAAGCATCTGCCTTGGGCTCTGATCATGATCCTGCGGCCCTGGGATCAAGCCCCACATCAGGCTCCCTACTTAGTGGGGAGTTTGCTTCCCCCTCTGCCTCTCTCCCTTGTTCATGATTGCTCTTTCTTTCTCTCTCTCTCTCTCTTCAAATAAATAAATAAAATATTTTTAAAAGAAATTTAATTTTTAGGGCAGCCCCCGTGGGTCTGCGGTTTAGTACTGCCTTCAGCCTGGGGTGTGATCCTGGAGACCCGGGACCGAGTCCCACGTCGGGCTCCCTGTGTGAAGCCTGCTTCTCCCTCTGCCTGTCTCTGCGTCTCTCTCTCTCTCTCTCTCTCTCTCTCTCTCTCTCTCTGTGTGTCTGTCATGAATAAATAAATAAAATCCTTAAAAAAAAACATTTAAAAATTTTAATTTTTAAAATTCTGTAATAGGATTTGTCCTCTAGGAGATATTATTTATAAATATTCAAGCTATTTTGTCCCAATTTTCTTTTTTTTAAGATTTATTTATTTGTTTGAGAGAGAGAGAGAGAAAAAAAACATGAGTGGGAGGAGAGGCAGAGGGACAAGCAGAAGGAAAGAGAAGATGCGAGGCTCAATCCTAGGACCCTGAGATCATGATCAGAGCCCAAGTCCAGAGTCACTCGCTTAACCACCTGAGGCACCTAGTTGCCCCTGCCCCTAATTTTCTATACTGATTCATTAGCCTAAAACTGTAACAGAATTTAGGAAATAATTACCACAACCACAAAAAAATATTTATATTATTGATCCAACTATTTCACTTGTAGGAGTCTCCTAAGCAACCAAACTATCAAAAAGCTAAATGCAAGAAGATATTAATTACAGCATTATTTAAAACAACAGTTATAGGATTTATTTTGAAGCTTGAATGAATATATATATATATTTTAAGATTTTATTTATTCACTCATGAGATACACAGAGAGAGAGGCAAGACACAGGCAGAGGGAGAAGCAGGCTCCCTGCAGGGAGCCCGATGTGGGACCCGATCCCGAGCCTCCAGGATCACGTCCTGGGCTGAAGGTGGCGCTAAACCGCTGAGCCACCCAGGGATCCCCTGAAGCTTGAAAGAATATAGTGGAAATCGAATAGAATTACACACAGCCATTAGGAACAGTAATAATAAAGGACTGCCGATATGAAAAAATTATTGAAATGTTATGAAGAATAAAATGAGATAAAAATTTTTGTGCATTCTCAACATTTTAAAATATATTCAGTGCCATTTAAATTATCAAAATGCAAAAGGTAGACTAGAAGAAAATATTGCAACATATATGACCAAAAAAGGATAATAGTCCTATTACTGAAAGGGCTCTTCAAATATGACAAGGAAGGTGCTTGCTTCGGCAGCACATATACTAAAATTGGAACGATCCAGAAAAGATTGGCATGGCCCCTGTGCAAGGATGACATGCAAAGTCGTAAGGCATTCCATATTTTAAAAAATATATGACAAGAAAGGACAAATAACACTCAAGGGCAAAAAGTGTGAAAGGGCAAGTCACGGAAAAAGAAATAAAAATGACAAATAAGTATGAATAAAAAGATTCTCAACTTCAGTAGTGGGTTAAACAAAATGTTTTTGTCTCATTGGATCGGAAAAGATATAAAAAACTGAGCCTTCGGGACACCTGGGGGGCTCAGCGGTGGAGCATTAATCTGCCTTCAGCCCAGGGCGTGATCCTGGAGCCCCAGGATCGAGTCCCACATCAGGCTTCCTGCATGGAGCCTGCTTCTCCCTCTGCCTGTGTCTCTGCGTCTCTTAGAAATATATGTATATATATATATAAAATATACATATAAAGTATATTTCTATATAGAAATATATATACATATAAATCTTTTTTAAAAAAAGGCCTTTTGGGGAAATAATCTAGCAGCACCTATCAAAATCCTAAATGGTCCTCCCTCTAACCAATGGGCCCACTTCTAGGGCTGTATTTCTAGAAATAAAGGAATCCATAATTAAGGATAAATGTTTATTGAAGCATTTTTAGCAAAACTAGGAATGGGAAATAAATTGTTTATTTTTTCTTTAAGATTTTATTTATTTATTCATGAGAGGCAGAGACACAGGCAGAGGGAGAAGCAGGCTCCATGCAGAGAGCCCGACGTGGAACTCGATCCCGGGTCTCCAGGATCAGGCCCTGGGCTGAAGGCCCGGGCTGCCCTAAATTGTTTATTAATAGAGAAATAAGTAAATACATTTTAGTACAGCCACAATTTGGAATATTACGTAGCCATGAGCAAGCACGAGCTGCATGTGTGCATACGCCGCACTGTCCAGGTGGCTGCACGTTAGAACCACCTGCAGGGCTGGCTGTGGATTCTGCTGCCCAGGGCTCACCCACGACAATGAACTCAGATCTCTGGGGGTCGGACCCAGTAGTACTCTTAAAGCTCCCAGGCGTTTCCGACACATAGCCAAGATGGCAAACTATTAACTTCAAGGAATCTCAACCACATTTTGTTAAGTGAAAAGAGTACATTAGGAGATCTATACATAACATAGTGACAATAGGAACCAGGAAGGGAGGGAGGAAGGGAGGGAGGGGAAAGAAGGAAAGAAGGAGCAAACGAAGGAACAGAAGGAGAGCATCAAGAGAGAGGGGTGCTCGTGTACATATGTTCAAACACACATCTACATATTCATGAAGTCTGTGTGTATGTATTTATTCCTAAAAGGATAGATAATAGGTGTGGAACAATACACACTTATTTTAACATCGGTTACCTGTGGAAGTATAAAATTGAAAGGAATCGTAGATTTTATTAATGTTTACATGATACTCTGTGATTGTTTAAGTTTGTATAATAAGCACAGGTTACTTTGTTTAAAAAAAACAAAGTGTTTAAAATTTTGCATATCAGAAAAAAAGGAAAGGAAATGAAAATGCCAACTTCACGGGGTTATACTTTTCCTTCTCCACGTCTGAGACTGTGCAGCCTGAGAGGTGTCTTCTAGGGCAGGTGGTAAATAAACGGGGAGGACCTGTGCGGCCAGCTCCGGGCAGGAGGCGCCAGGAGCCCCGGCCCCGCTCCGCTAGCAGGAGAGCGGGTGTCGCTCACTCGGGGAATTCAAGGCACCGTGACCTTTGGCCTTCACCTCCCTGGGTCTCAGTTTTCCCAGCTATGAAATGGGAGCTAGGCACATCTCTTCCACGTGATTAGGTATAGTAAACACCCAGGTCTCCCGTGGAAAAGACTGAGAAGCAGGGGGATGGGATGAATGTCTGGGTGTTAAGGGTCCGGTGGCACAGAAGAGCATCATTAAAAGTTGCAGCTCTATGCACATTTTACTGTAGAAGAATCTAATGAGAAGCACTAAATCTTGGGATTGGCTGAAATCTGTCCCCAGGGTAAGTCCCTGGATGCCCTTCGGCTGTTTCCAGGGGCAACAGATGGCAGTTGCTACCTTCCCAGCACCAAGGAATCGACACTGGGCTGCGGAAAAGAGTTTTTGCTCTGGTTCTAAAGAGAGAGGTTGGTGCAGGGCCTGGCACATGGTACCCCTTGATCCTGGGGTTGTGGGTTGGAGACCCACGTCGGGTGTGGAGAGGACTTGCGGGTCCATTCCTCTCACTGAGAACTAAGGATCTCTGTGAGAAAATGTCCCAGAAACTCCCCAAGAGAGAAGAAGACCACAAAGGAGTCGATGAGAGACAGTGAGGCATCTCTGGTCCAATCAAAAATATTCAACGAGGGCTCTGGCAGGCTCTGTGCCCAGGGAACAGTGCTCCCCCAGGCCTTGCCATGGCTTCTCACGGTTCTCACATGTAAGGTCTTCTGTCACATATCGCCCAGCGTGAAGGCCCCCCGACGCCCACACCTGAGAGGACATCCCCCCTTTACACGACACCCCAGTGAGCACTTACAAACACCTGTGAACTCCTGAGCGGCCTACGTCGGTGCTAACCCTCTGCCTTTCCAAACACAAACCCCTTGAAGGCAAGGACTAGACCTGCCGTGCTTGCTGCTGCATACCCAGAGCTTGTGTTCGGGAGTGAATGAGATCCCCAAACCCAGCTCCCACCGTGAAGCACTGGGATTCAGACCCCCACCCTCCAACACTATGAAGCCCCTCAGCGAAATGCCAGGCAGGCTCTGTCCTAAAGAATTCACAAAAACAAAACCACGTGTGACTAAGACCAGTAAGGATATTTAAAATAATAATAAATAATAATGATTAACTTTCTCTAAAAAAAAGAAACTAAAAAAAGTATTCACCAAGTATGTTGAAAGGTGGACACTTAGCAGTCGCCTGATTTTTTAAGACTCATCATTCTAGGGGCGCCCGGGTGGCTCAGTGGTTGAGCACCCACCTTCAGCTCAGGTCATAATCCTAGAGGCCTGGGATCGAGTCCCACGTTGGCCTCCCTGCATGGAGCCTGCTTCTCCCTCTGCCTGTGTCTCTGCCTCTCTCTCTCTCTCTCTCTCTCTCTCTCTCTCTGTGTGTGTGTGTGTGTGTGTGTGTCTTGTAAATAAATAAATAATTTCTTTTTAAAAAAAAGAAAGTTGGGAACCCTGGGTGGCACAGTGGTTTAGCGCCTGCCTTTGGCCCAGGGCGCAATCCTGGAGACCCAGGATCGAATCCCACGTCGGGCTCCCGGTGCATGGAGCCTGCTTCTCCCTCTGCCTGTGTCTCTGCCTCCCTCTCTCTCTCTCTCTCTGTGAATATCATAAATAAAAATTAAAAAAAAAGAAAGTTTTACTCTTCATAGTACATTATGATACTATCTACCTCTTTGCCGACCGAAACAGGTGGAGAAAGAAAGCTTCTCTGAGGTTCCCAACTTTCTAAGAGCAGGAGGGAGGGTGGGGCAGGGGGGAGGGAGAGGGAGAGAGAATCTTAAGCAGACTGCACACCCAGCGCAGAGCCTGAGGTGGGGCTTGATCTCACAACCTGAGATCAAGATGAGCTGAGATCAGATGCTCAACCAACACGGGTGCCCCCCAGGCATCCCTGCCCGAGGTTTTTAAAGGTGGGGGCTCCAGGTAGAAGAAGCAAATGGCATCCTCCTCTCTGCATCCCAGGAAAGCACCGGGAGCACTTCCCCGTTATCACAGGGATGCAGTGCTGGTGAGTCATAGCTCAGAAGGCAGCCTGCAGCGGGATGCCCCAGGAGCAGCCCTCATGCTGCAGCTGCAGCTCTTCCACTTCTTCTCCAGAACAGCCCAAATCTAATCTGTGTGCTGATTTTCAGAGCATGGGAGAGACAGGCTTTCTCTGTCGCTGACAAGCAAAGACTCAGTGACCATCTGCCAGTAGAAGAGACTCACCCTTTCTCGGAAAGACCGTAGCATAGTCAACGTTAATCCCACAAACACTCATGAGTGCCCAGCAGGCACAGTGCTAGGGACTCAAGCACGGGAACGAGGGGGAGTGATGCTCTTGATCCTCCCCAACCTCCAAACTCCATAATTCTGGGACTTTGTTGAGGACTAGAAAGAAGGAGCAGGTGCGGTGGCAAGATCTGAAAGGTGACAAGTAATAACCCTAGACGCTGAGGAATCTTAGAGGGCGTGTGTATTAGTGGTGCGTTGGGGGAGGTGCCTTTGCAGAGAGCAGCACCTTGAAAAAGTGTGTTGCGTCCTGAGACAGAGGAGAGGTTAAGATAATTCTCATGAGTTGGAAGGACTACATGCCCATTGCACGTGTCACACAAGTGCTTGATACAGGGCCTTGCCCACACCAGGAACACACGTGCATACAGGTGCATGCCCCGCGGGAGGCATGGCAGGCAACGCAGGTACAGAGGTGGAAAGACTCACCTATGTTCTCCAGTTACACAGGGGGCACTTTGCTCACCGTCCTAATGTTCTTTCTTCCACTTCTTCCAGAATCCCTTCTGAAATGAAACAGAAAGCAAAATATTTTAAAACACTGTGATTTGCACGTTGTAACTGGTTTTCTGCCAAAATAGTTTCACCCTTTTAATTTGGTCTCTGGGTTTTTAAAAGTCTCTTCTTCTTCTCTGTAAATTTTGCATTTGTCCTTTTCAATACTTCCGCCTTCTCCCAGCCAAGTAAGGTAGCACTGAGCCCATTCGCCCTTCCCTTTTTCATCAGTAACTACCACAGGCACCATTAGAACCATATTTGAACAGGTTCCAAACTCTGTTACTCAAAAGCCATTCATTCACTCAACAAACATTTATCGTAGAAGGAAAATCCTCATTTTTAGTTAATATATATAAATAGCATACTTTATGAGGCATAAGCAAACACTAACTTTAAGCTTAAAATTTTATATCAAGTGATGCTTGGGTGGCTCAGCGGTTGAGCATCTGCCTTCAGCTCAGGTCATGATCCCGGAGTCCCGGATTGAGTCCCACATCAGGCTCCCTGCATGGAGCCTGCTTTTCTCTCTCTCTCTTTCTCTCTCTCTCTCTCTCTCTCTCTCTATGTCTCTCGTGAATAAATAAATAAAATCTTTAAAAA